CAGGCTGAACCTCAGGAGGCACAGCCCAAGGGATTTGGCATGGTTTGTAGATGCTCCAGCACCTCCTTTGTTCCACGGTTTCCGCGGTTCGGCCGCCTGTTTCACCCTCCTGGTGTCCTGATTAGCTTGGTCACCGAACGATTATCTCACCTTTTCCACAGGCTCATTTCCGCTAAACCGTTGACCCACCTTGGTGTCCGTCCGGTGGCGTCCGGGTCCAGGAGCTGTGTTACTTTTGCTTCAAGGTCTTGCTTGCCCAGCAGCCCAGAGGGTCCAGGGGTCGAGAGGCCATCGCTATTAGCTTGGAGGCCATCGTTAGAGTGAATATTTATCAACATGTGCGTTATGTTTGTCTAATTTTTTGGTGCAGCACACCCCATATTAAATAGAAGGCCCGCGGGTACGCCTATACTTTCCAACTTAGTGGGCGCCTATGCCAAAAGCTTGGCGATGCCATCGGAACTCGGAACCTTCAGAGGGCCACCAGCACATTTTTGGACAATGAAGAGTTTGCCACTTGGCCTTCACAATGTATGTATATTTATATAAGGTGTATATATATAATTGTATATATCGAGCCTTTACTTGGCCTTCACAATGTTTTGTTATAAGGTGTAAATATATATATATAGTTAGCTATCGGCGAGGCGTTGTAGCATAGACAAATCATTGCACATCGCAACAGCCATTGTTGTGGCCAAACCCAGCAACGCTGCTTCGCCAAGAACGCACGGCCTTGCGTGACAACTCCCACACGAGAACTCGCACCCGGAGTCAAATTGGATTGAACATGTGCCTAACTTATCTACTGTAGTTAAAACCCATTTGCCAATATTTGGCCTGGAAACAGGACCTTGCCATGTCCAGACCATTCATGTCGGAAGCCATTGTTTGGACGACAATTTGAAACTGGCATTTGTCTCCACTGGTTAGAGGAATGAGTCACGCTTTTGACTTACACCTACAGCACAGGTGTTTGTTGCATTTGCTCGTTTTAAGGCTCCTGTGTTTTTTGTTTTTTAACGTTTGCTTTCAAGGATATACATATATAATATATGTTTGTTATTTCAAAACCACCCCTCAAAAGGCAAGTGGGGTATGTAAAATGTTGTTTTAAAGCTATCCATCGCTATCCCCCCACCCAGGAAGACAGATACCAAGTAGAGAACTGTCCCTTTTTCCCCATCAAATCTTGGGAAGCTGTTCTGTTTATTCGGCCGTGAAGCTTTTCACGATCATGTCAGCAATTGTGGGAAGGCCGACCCCGCAGAGCCATAGCGCCACAGCTGGATGGTGCTTGACTGAGGCGAAGCTGCAGGGGAAGCCTTTGCCCTCTCAGTCTGCGCTACGCCTGGACTCCCAGCTGCGACCGGTTGAATGACCGTGCTGCATGGTGTTAACACGTGAAAGTGGCTGAACACCTACAGTTTTCAACTTTAAAATCAATCCATAGTTACACAGGTTGGGAGCTCATTTTCAATATGGTTCAATCAGTGTCATTGTCAGTTTTCTATTTTCTTTTTGTCACTCTCTTGTGTTATCTTGTTGTTTATTTTTCTTCTTGGTGTCACGAAATGTTTTTTTCTTTTTGGGTGCTATGTTCTGGAAGATGTATGACATGCTCGAAGTGAGGCTATTGCCAAAGTAGGCACAAATCGTTGCATCCCAATCTGACAACATGATCAGCTGGCTCATGCCATTTAGTCCCTCTCACTTTGCTTGCAAAAAGAGACAGTTGTTTGTTGTGTGGTTCAGATCACAATGAGCGGAGCACGGATTGGACCATAAGATCAGCCTTGCCAAACCAGGAGTGATGGAAGATCGGGTCCAGTCGTAGGTTCCCCACCCCAACATCCACTCGTCCGGTTCACTCTTCCGACGTCCACTTGCTCAAAAGTGCATGTTTGAAGAGTGGCCGAGTTTGTAGCCAACAACTGGAATCTTGCTTCATTTGCACGTTGCTAGCAGGATGTTCTATAGTTGTTTCTTCGCAGGTATATGATCAACAGATGCGATCAGAGAACTTTGAGACCCAGGTGTGTGCTGGGATGCTCAACCAGTGCAGGCCTGACTGAAGGGTTCAGAACATGTCAGAACCCCTGCTGGCATGGACCAAATATAGGTTTTGCATTGGTGGACAGCATCATCACCGCCACCTCGATTCCTTGATGTTGCGGATCAGGGTGTCAATGCTGCAAGCAGTACATTTTTGTCGGGGGCATGTCCAAAATCAATGGTTTATTGAAACCTGGGTTCTACATGTTTCAGAGAATTTGCGTGTCTCTAAACGTGATGTTGCCAGAGCCTGGTAGACATTCTATAGAGATTTTTTACGTGTGATCATCACAAGTACCTAGGCCTTGGTAGCCATTTTATAGAGAAGGGGTGTGGAATTCAATCCAAAAATGTTGGACATTTGCGTTACGCAACTGCGAGATTTGAACTCCGCGCGAGATGTTCCAAAAAAGTTGGAACATCAATGAACATCATAAATATGTGTTTAAACATATGAAGATCAAAGAAAACAATGTACAATCTTCGAGGGTAATTTGTTGTTGTCATTTGAGCAATTTTCTCAGAACATCTCAGAGCCTGGTCCATTTCATAGAGAAATTTTGGTGTTCGTTGGTACAGAAACGTTTTACCTGGATTCTGCATTTTATAGAGTTGTTTTGTACCCCCGATGGTAATCAGTTTGACCTGGTTGCTGCATTTTATAGAGAGATGAATGAAATGTTCCTCAAGAGTTTTCATGGACCCTTGAAGCGTGGTTTACTTTTATGTATGTGCCAGGCGCTGCATTGTGTAGAGTTTGGTAGGTGGACACCCCATTCTATAGAGCATATTTCTCGATAAGATGCCTGGAACACCCCCCAGCCCACCACCCATGGGGGATCATGGGCCAAGTTGTTGTTTTGCTGAGCTGGCCGTAAGTGATGTTTGTTGTGACTCACGTTTCCTTATATCCCTGAAGATCCTGGCGAGAGTCAGATGGTGACATGATCATGGCCCGCTCCTCGCCACGTCCACGTCCGGGCTGGCAAAAGCCATGCCCATTGCCATATGCATCCCGCATCCCTCATAAAGTTGTGCTTTTTTTTTTTTTTTTCGCAGGCTGAAGCCTTTGGATTTATACTTCAACCCATTATCATATTTTTCAGGGGGTCTACACCGCAGTCACCGCAGGCCTCCTTATTCTAACGACCTGAGTGACCATTGTCAACATGTGATGCTTGCGTGAACATGTTCAATGATTTTACTGTGCTGAGAATGGCTTGCTTCACCGGCTTCACCTCAGCAAACATTTTGTACTTGTAATACATGATAATGCATTACATGAGACAAAGGCATTGCGCCATTGCGTTTAAACAAAACACGGGGGCACAAGAGCCGAAGAGGCTTGGATTTGCTTGCTTTATGTTAACCACTTAGCATAACTCTAATGGTGTTGCCAAAAAAAGAAGCAACTAAAACATGTAAGCAAAGCAAACACGAAAAACTATTAAAACCAAACAACAAATCCAATAACAGAAATGAGCAAATGAAAATGCAAAAACACAAAACAACTGCAAATCCAAAAAGCAAGAAAACTGCAAATAAAAACAACAAACAACAAAAAACACATACAGTAACAGAAAAACAAAAGCCACCGAAAGGCCCCAAAACAGACCAAAACAACAATAAAAAAATGCAAAGCGAAACAACAAGAGGCAAACAACACATTTAAAAACAAAAAACAACAAACAATCAAACAACATGCGGGGGGTGAAACAAACATGGAAACAAAGCGAACAAAAAGGACGCCCCCCTTTAAAAAAACAAAAAAAAAACAACAACAATGCGAAAACACAGCGCAAAAGTAGGACACCATTTTGTATTTTCATGTGTTTGTTTTTCTTGTTTGATTTGTTTGTTTTGTGTCTTTGCCTCTTAATTTGTTCTTTTGCTGTTTGGAGTTGTCTTGTTTTGCTTTTGCTTTTAATTTGTTGTTTTTTCTTGATTTTTTGTTGTGTTTTTCAAGATTATCAGAGTTAGCCTGGGTCCGGCGATCATAATGCTTGCTTGTTCATCAAACAATGGTTTCTGGCTATCGTTGCACATGAACACAGATGCCCTGTGCTGTGGATAGGCTCGAACATCTCATTTTCTCACGAGTCCAACCCCACATGGTGTCTAGTCTAGTGTGTTCAGCTTCGGGAGAAACGACACCCAGACACCACTCAGCGCCGCGGACGCAGCTTTTCAGCACCCCAAGAGATGGACGCACTTCAGCACCCCTGGCCACGATGGGAATGAACGGTTCGAAGGTCTTTTCGGTGAATGCTCCAAAGAGGGATTTCAGACCATCCATTTCGCTGAACTTCTGTCCATATACATATATATATATATACGCACACATGAATTTACATGTCATTCACTGGCAGTGAGCCAAATAACTGTGCCCACATAAGGCTTAAAAACCATTTCTGTCGTATTCTCCACTGCAGCGCAGTGGCTTCTCTGCCAGGTCCCTGGCCTTTTCGTGGGTTGGCACACTGGTCCCAGTGGTCTCCGCGGATGCACGGGAGGGCGTTTCATGTGGTTGGACCCCAAAATCGGCTCGGTCAGGGCGATTGATGTGGGAAAAAGTTGAGGTGTTGGCTTGCAGTGCATATGCACTTGAAAAAGCAGTGGTACAGTCCACGTTACATCACGTGACCAAGAAGGAAACGCATCCTGCATAAGACTCCCCATGTGTGCATGAACCCCATGCTTCCGAAGCATGCTTCCGATTCCTAGACCCTCTTAAGTTGTAACTCAAGACATGAGTGGTCATTTGCAATGAGGGGAGTTGCACATGTGTGGGTCATGACATTGGATTTCCCATGTGGGTCATGCCACGTGTGATGTGCCGATGTCTTGTAGGCATGGGCACCTTGAAGCCCGTGGAGCTCCACCGTCGGACGTGCTCAGCCCGTGGATCAAAAAGCGAATCACACGACATATGTGATAGAACATGTGGTGGATACCATGTTGATTCTAATATATATATATATCTATATCCGAGGATCTTCCCGCAACATTACTCCAGCTGTGGTCGAAATAGCAAGTTCATGTTGCGCGGCTATTGAAAGGTTGAGGCCCCTGGAATCGGAGAGAATTTGGTGAACTTTAAAAATCTATTCTATTTATTTCTAATAGCTTCTTGCTCCTAGTAGCAAGGCCAGGAGCCCCGTTCGTAGCGTCCTTGTTCCTAGTAGCGATGCCCAGTCGCTCCTAGTAGCGTCCTTGTACCCTGGAATCGGAGAGAATTTCAGAAGAAGGGCAGTGGCGGCAGTGGCCTGGGTTTTATGGCCTGCAAAAAGGCAGGCAACATGTGGAACCTCCATCACCAAACACACCGTCACGCGGGCACCGCAACGGTCATCCATGCCACGGTCACCGGTGCGAATCAGGGGGCCTCTCGGACTATGCGCTCCAAAGCGCCCTCCATGACCTTCGATTTTCGCCCATTTCACTGAAAGAGGCGCTCTCTCCGGAGGTTTTCGGCGTGGCGTTGAGCGTGGGTCAAGGGCAGGTCACCGCGGACAGAGCAGGTCAATGGCAGGTCACTATGACCATGTGGACTCCAAAAAAGATACAAACAATTAGATAAACACATCAACATCAATGACCAAAGTTCATGAACAAACTAAATTGCTGGTGGTTAGGAAAGAGGTGAGGAGTGTCTTAGGACTTCTTAGGGAATTCTGGTTCACCCATGGGCCAGTATGTGCTAGTCAGACACGTTATTTAATTAAGGCTATATGCGTCGGAGGGCAAATTGCATTAGTGAGTCTGAACAGACTTAAATAGCAAGGGAATGGATAAATGTACAGGGAAGGGATTTCACCCAGTGCTTGTGGACAGGGCTTGGACAAGCAGTTGGAGCCCATGACCGTGTTCGTTTAATGAAGTGGGTGTAGAACATCTCGGCGCCTTGAAAAACTTGTTAAGATAGCATCTCAGGAGATGTGACGACCCAATATTCCCAAGAGACAACTCGCTTCAGATGCGCGGCTTTGCGTGCGCCAAACAAGTGCATCACTTTCAGGTGAAGATGTTGACGTGCCGAGTGTGCCTGGGCGAGTGGGAAATCACCCTGACGGTTCGTTCTAAGACACGGTGAATCCCATAAAGTCTCATCAGACTTCCCAACGGTTTCCCAACTGAATTGCTATGGCTATGTTTGTCCTGAAGCCTCCATTCCACGCAGTCTGTGGCCTGAGTGTGGCTGCAGTTTGTGGGCCCGTAAAGCTTGGAGTTGCTGCCGCTCATGCACACTCACTCCAACTCACTGGTGCATTAACATTATGGTAAACCCCTGGCTTGCACAGGAGAAGGGTCCCTGAAATGAAGCGTGGAGACGGCCATGATTCATGTCTCTTTCGCAGATGGCCACCGATTTCGTCCCAACGCGTTCGCGCACGAAACGTTCGCGACACCTGTGGTCTCCGAGGTCCATCCTCCATAGCTTTGAATCGTGCAGCGTTTGGGACCTCGGTGACCTGGATGACGGCCGGTCGATCTAACAGACGGACGTGTTCTCGACGGCTCTTTGTAGTAACGGAATGTATGCGAGAAAATGGCATGTTTCAAAGAACTGTTGCCAGTGGTTAATGCTAACTTTAATTATCTATAGTGCTGAAAGGGGTATAATAATTAGGTCAGTGTTCGAGTTGTTTTTGAAAGACAAATTGGTCACTTCCCCAAAGGGCGAGTCATGATCTCGGTGGAAGCTCCTCGCGGGGAAAATCCCAGGATCCTTTGGATTGGAAGCTGGGCACGCACGGGGTCACCATCGCCTTCACGGTGCCGCGTCGGCCGAAGAGTGGGGCGTCCAACCGAAGAGAAGAGTCGCGGTTGGCCTTGGGAGAAGACGCGTGACTTCGCTTTTCGTTCGAAGCGTGACAAGCATGACTAGCTTCCAAATATGCTTCCGTGACGCAATCTATAATATGTGCCAGGTGGAAGTTCCCAACAGTTCCAAGAAATTTTGAGTTGTAGGCAGTCTGAAAGGCTTTGCATTGCCCGATCCGGACATGCGTGTTCAGACCGAGTGATGAACATCGCCAGGCTGCCCTTTGCAGCTTTTGCCCTTGCGGCACTTGTAGATATACTGCTGGGCTGCTCAGGGCTAGGCATCATGGCCAATACTTGTTCGTCAAGAAGCGAGTGCAACATAACATTACTACAGTATATATAGTGCAACCATTTTCGCCAGGATTGCTCAAGCGAGCTAGAGCAATCCTCAACCGGTTGGACAAGGGAGAGCCATTGGAAGGACAACGATGTGCGTTTGCCAGCGTTTGCTTGTCCCTGGTTCAGCACTTGACCTCACCGGAGGATAGTTGCCGGCAAGTTCCAAGAAAGTACGTGTATCAATGACATGAAAGGGATGGAAGTGACAGTGAAGGAAGGATCTACTGCACAATAAGTTGATGGAATCGATGGAAGAGTTCCAAGGAGAACCTGGATATTGGGTGCTGCAGTCTCAAACGTGTGTAGTGTCGTCCATTGGAAATCCCTGGGATGGTCCTGCTAATGTCTCAAGCGCTCGAGAGTCCATGTGCACTGGAGTGGGCAGTTTGTTCAACTAGGCCACCTTGCTGCCGGAAGTGATCTCCGAGGAAGGGATGTCACAAGAGGCACTTCCGACCGATGTTGGGTGCGCCAGGGTCAGGAGCGGCGGCCATTGCAGGGGTTATATAATAGTTGTATACGGCCTGTGGTTGCTTGGGCATGTAGCTCGGTTCCCGAGGGGCCCAATCAGCCTGGGATGTTCGACGTGGATCAGTGGATGATCAAAGGGCGGTACTGCAGATTACAGATCATCTGGGTGGCCCACCTTAAACCACCTTGACTCGACATTTTGTAGATGTCCACAAAAGGCAAGGTCCACCCAGATGATGTCGACGAATCACTTGCCCAACATGACCTCGAAGTCTTCTTAACCCTCTTGGTTTGGCTGTTGAATTCATTATTAGAAAAACCATTTGGGTCCATTTGGTGGTAGGCTTCAGAGGAGCTTTGGGATTATTATGTTCTTGTATAGGTGTGCTTTAGAATTGTGGTCAGTGTGTTGTTCATCAGCGGAGGTTTTGGAGGTATTTAGACTCAGCTGCGATCACAGGGTTTAGGGCCATACACCATGTGGTGTCCACGCATAACATAGGTCTGCTCCCGGAGTTTGCATGTCTCATTGGAATGATGACCTCGGTACTTGAGATGTTTATTCTGCTTGAACGCCGACAAACCTATGTCACGAGAAATTCAGGACACGAGCTGTTTTCACAGGTGAAGAGCTACTTTTGTCCCCAGAATTTCAGACATGAACTGAGTACTGCATTGCACTACCACGCACTACCAACTGAGACTACACTAGCTGCTGAAAGACCCAACCAAGTGCCACCAAGTGCGGCCGCCAGGATGTGTCCCTTCTCCGCCGTCCGTTAAGAATTGAGCTGAGAGAATCTTTGTTTTAAGTATGGACGGTATGGATGCTGAGAACGGGACCCCCCACCCGCAGGGCCCGCAGCCGCAGCCCCATGTCCAGTCGTCCACTTCGTGCAGGCAGTTTTGGAGAAATTGGTGCATAAGGCGGGCTACAGGAGACATTGCCTGACCCCTAGAAAGGCAAATTGCCTTTAGTTGTTGCCCCATGACCGCTCCCGGCATACAGAGGTACACTGCAGATTTAATCTATATTAAACAAAGGCCGTCACATGCCCCAATGGACTTATATATGTCATGGCAACTTCCATGCTTTGCCCCTTCACTTCATGCAATACCCGGCGACCTGTAACAACCCCTTGACACCTCAACCATAGGAGCGGAAGCCGCTCGCTGGAGCCTGCCAGACTGAGGTAGCCCCAAGATGATGAGATCTTTAGTCTGGACCTCAGCGATACGAGGTCCCAGCCAGGAAGGACGGATTTGTAGGTGATGTCGATCCTAATGTCCGCTTTGTGGTCAATGACAAGTTTATTAACATGGCACACCCAAAATCAATACAATTCAACTATATATCTTTGCCAATGCACCTAGAATACAGTTGCTAAGCTGATGGAATTTTGCAATTTCCGCTGAATTCAGCTCAGCGTTTCCAGTCCTGTCATGACCAGGCCAGGTGCATGTTATGCCCACTGCCCACTGTAGTGAATTTTGCCGCTTGTTTTTGTAGACGAATCCCAAGTCTGAGAAGGGTTAAACCATTATATAAGCCAGCTTCTGAAACCGGGAACGACCCTCCAGGCGAATGCAAAGAAGCCCAGTGGGACCAAGTGTTCCTAGCAACTCAGCGGGTCCCAGATCTCAGGTCAGGTGAGCGATGGCCCCAGGAAAACTGATCAAGACGTGACCATGGCAGTAGGAAGTCGAACACCAGAGCCACCAGAGCCACCGCTCCGCCCTGGCTCGCCCTGGCTGTTTGAGCACTTCGCCCTGTTTGACAGCACTTCTTCGCTCCAAGGAGGTGACTCGATTCCAGCCAGGGAGCCCTGATTTTGGCAAGTTGGAACTCCTGCGGGTCTCCTCTTGGATGGGTTCTACATGGTTTAACCAGATTGGCTCAACTAACTAGTGGCAAATGTGCCATGAACTCACATAGAAGCAGGCAAAACTGTAGAACGAAGCCTAGCAGAGGAAGTCCTCATCAATTACTATAATATGATCTATATGTCCATTTGTTTTCGCTAAGGTAGCGGAACTTACAGTAGATTCGCATCAGTTGTGAATAGTTGTGATTTTGCATATGTCTCGATCCATTTCCAATGGGGTTCTGTCTCGTGGCACATGGTGTACAATGGGGGCCTTATTACTTTATTTCTATGCCACCTACAATAGCAAGAATTGAATGAAAGTCATTGATTCCATGTTTGTGTTGACTGACTCATGACTTATGACACACTGGTTCAGCAAATCTTTTGGTTTCGCCAAGACGGGGATCGAACAGAATCCATGGCACAAGATTTGTTTGCACCGACACCCATGACACCCATCATCATGAGATGCAAGCATGAAAACCACTCAGTGTTCAGCCTGGGAAAATACATATTGCCTCCGCATGAAGTTGCTTGAAGCCTCAATTTGTGCTTTGCAGGGCACGTTGAAAGTGAAGGAACCAACTACGGAGTGTCCTATTCCCGTCTTGATTTGACTTCCTTCTTCAAAAAGGAAACGGTGGCCTAGCTGAGTCTATATACTCCCTTCAACCGCCAGGTCCACGGTATGCAATCTGGACTTTCAGACCTTTGCACTCAAGCAGGACCGGGCGGAGCTCGCGGCGGAGCTCGTGGGACCTCGGTGTTCGAACCTCAAGATATCCTGTTCGGACGCTGAGGTCGTACCTCCGAAACGGAGGACCATTGTTGGACCCTCTAAACCAACCCCTCAGCACTTTCTCAGGGTTCTTGCATTTGACCCTATGCCACCGACCGACCGAAAGATGTCTTTTGAGGCTGGCTTGGTCCAAAGGTGGCCAGATTTGCAATGGCTTCCCAGGTGGGTGCGTGCCGCACTGTCAGGAAGCCCTCAGCTGAGCGCCTTCGTCAGACCGCGCAGGCGATAGGCGCCGCGTAGGTGATTCGGAGGCCGGGCGATGAGGAGGTCGCGCGTACACAGCGTGCAGTGCAGGTGATTAAGCGAATTGGCAGAGGTCTGCGCAATGAACAAAGGTTTCATGCAAGACTTGCCTTAAAGCATCGATGTGGCCACGACCGGAGGGAAGGCATGGGGGTTTTGATATGTTTTATGATGAGATGCTAACATTTTGATCATTTTGGCAACTATCCACTGCAATTCTAGGGAATTTCATTAATGAATATAACTTCATATATTCTGTATGTATACTTGTAACAGTTCAAGCAGCTTAGATTTGTTTGAGTTTACCCTCGTTCTCATGGCCGCGGCGATTGCATTAGGTGAAGTGACTGTACATAGAGAAGTCTCCCAGCCATCGGCTTGTGTGGCCATTTTCCACCGCTTGTCGCGATCCATGGCATGGTTGATCCAAAGTCGTATCTTGGACCTGCAGCACAGCTTTCGTCTTCCAGATGCTTCTTTTAGTATTCTTTAGTGGGAATGCATCCCAAAATGCCTCCGCTCGGAATGCCTACTCACTGAATTCCCAGCCGTCCAGCTGGCTGCTCATTTTCCCACCTGATCCGCAGGGACTTCACTGTTGTCCTTCACTTCCCACTGCACTCGCCTCAATGATGGAGACACCGATGTTTTTGACCCAAGTTTCCAGGGTCGCATGTCATGACCGCCGCCGCAGCATTTGGCTTCAAAGAGACCCAAGTGCTGCGGCGCAATCCGCCGGACTCTACTTCCCATAAACCCATTTGGCCATGGAAGCGATGCCGAAGCGAGTCAGAGGCCGAAAAGCAAGGCAAATCCAACAATCAACTCGGGGAGGGCCTCACACAAGGAACACCTGTATAGAAAGGTGAGCTGAAAGCAAAAGTTCACCCCAACATAGACATAGAAATGGATCAAACCTTCTCGGCCCTTTGCTTGGCTGTCACCTGTCTTCAGCTTCCCACGGTGCCAGTGTGCCGGCCAGGGGGGCCCAATTTTTTGCGATGCGACGGAATCAGCTGCATGTTGGAGCAGGGTAAGGGCGGTGGCTGGGTCAAAACGTCAAGTAGTGCTGTGAGGGTTTGCAAAAGCTGTAGCGACTGAGGGGCATCATCCGATGAAAACAAGTAATTTAAAACATACGCATGAATTCAATGATTGTCTCAGAGACATTTGGAGATCATGACTTGAGCGATTTGCACCGCGTTTCTCGCCACTCGGAGTCTGAACCAAAACCCTTCGATAGGAAGGTCCTTCCAGTGTAAAAGACGAGATTTGTACATGACTGGCATGGATCGAAGCATTTTGGAAGCAATTTTCCGAAGCATGTTCCGAACTGCATTTCCACGACTCTATCCGACAAAGCTGGGTGAATGGTTGAGGATGACATAGATGGACATATTGTTGTGGTAGCGTGCTTGTGTGAGGGATGTCCACAACCTAGCGATAACTTGCATTAAGAGTTATATAACATGTGTTGCCATCTAGTGTTCACAAGGAGTTAGAATTTGCACAGGGCTTGAAAACGAGGCCACAAAAACAACGCCTCTTCCTGGGACTCCCTTTTGATTGCCTTGTCTTCAGGGTTTTGAGGGTTCAAAATGGAGTGACTTTAGAACGAAGTCACAAACAAATCCAAAGCATACAAAGAAATGGCTTTAGCAGACTCTGGACCAAGCGCCCAGTTTGTGATAGAAAGGCCGCATTGTTGGAGTGGCACCGTGTTTCACATTGACAAGTACAGTGATAATCAAATTCAGCTTGTGAACAACCAGGGCAGAGTAGCCTGGTTGGTGCCAATCCTCGGAAAGCTGGAAACCCAAACACCAAGCCTCAAAAGATACTGTAAGACCAAGTTTTGAACGTTCATGTTCAGACCTGCTCGCTTTGTGATAGTTTTTGTTTTATCAATGTTTATCCGAAAGGCTGTGTCCCTGCACACATACCATATTGCCATATTATGTGCATAGTGGTTGTGCAATGCCTCTGGGGAATCAATTGACATGTGGAATGATATGGAGTGTGTATATTCGGCTGATTGGCGAGGTAGAGAGAGAGAGAGGTGGGTTCACTGAAGGGTGTCAGATTGTACAGGAGCCACAGTGATGAAACAGCCACACGGATACCTGAGGCGGTGCTCTACACTCTACAGGTGACACCTCCATAATGGTTGAGATGCAACAAATAAACTCCGGACCAGTGATGCTTTTGGGCACATTTGGCGCAGACATCATCCAGCTGCATGCGGTTGATTGACAACACTTCTGAGACCCTCAGGAGCCAGCTGCGAAACCAGGTCATGTGTCAGAGAGGAGCAGGAGTGGTAGGAGTAACAGGAGTAGGGGTCACAGGAACAGGAGGACGATGACCAGGAGCAGTTGCAGCAGAAGCAGTTAGGAAGAGGAGCAGGTGTAGGAGCAGGAGCAGCAGCAGCTGCAGCAGCAAGTAGTAGTAGTAGTAGTAGTCGTCGTCGTCGTTGTCGTCGTCGTCGTGGTAGTAGTAGTAGCAGCAGGAGTAGTAGTAGTAGTAATACTGTAGTAGTAGTAGTAGTAGTAGTAGTAGTAGTAGTAGTAGTAGTAGT